ATAATAGCACGGCCTGGATGCCTCTCCAAGCTTTGCTAGGTACATCTTGCATTTACAACCTTTTTGCTGTCTCGCAAGCTGTTCTGCTAGGGTTGAGGCCGCTGAGTAGCACTGAGGGCTCCTCGAGTTGTTTTACTAGGGACTCCCCCTCTCGCCGACATCTTCGGAATGCACATGGCCGTTTGCGCCCCTCTCTGCCTGCCTGCCTGCCTGCCTGCAGGCCTGGCTGGCTAGCTGGCTGGCTGGCCGTATACAGTTTCATACGCATATCTGCATGCGCTTGTGAGTGTGTGTATGTGTGTGTGGTATGGCTGTGTGGGTGTGCAATGGCAAACCTGAAGACTCGTATCTTGCGGCTTCAGGGCGGACAATTTAAACGAGATGAAGGCGGCTCCAGACAGCAGTATAGCTGCTTATACATGCATGTATATATGTATGTATATGTATATACATATCATACTGTATTATATTTTTTGGTATAATAATGATACCGTGATGCTAGTCAAATCCTATGGCTTTTGGTCGAGAAACCCACAGGTGGCATCTTCTGCGACTGACTCCGCACCAAAGAAATTCCTGGGCCAGCAACGTTTGTGGAGCAGTGGATCCAACAAGCTTCTGGATCTGCATGATGTTACCGTGTCGTTGTTTTGGCCGCTCTCTGCAAAGTGCGTCGTTTGAGATGACCGGGACATTCGAGGGAATGTAGAAGTGTGCTGGGTTGCAAGTTGGACGTATGCCGGCTAGGGGGGTGGGGGTTCGAAGACCCTAACAATCCACTCGCTGCTGAAGCATGTGAGATCGACACCTTCTGAGATTGGTTGGGGCACGAAAAGTTCACTAACCCAGAATCGAACGCTTTGTTAATTTGTTTACACGCACTGCGGCGAGCGCGGGACAGAAAAGCACTGCAAGTTGCAAAACGTGCCTGTCTTCGAAGTTACGGTGTGATGACGAAAGAAGCCACATTGGCAAAACCAAAGGCTCGTTCAAACTCCAAACCTCCCTTGTCGTCGTCATCATCATCTACACCATTCCGGTGCAAAACCTCTGAGAAACCTTTCAAATCTGCAAGAGATGCGGGACAGACTTGTCAAAAAGCTAGTGAGACTCCCGCGAGACTCCTGCGAAAGACATGTGAAAACAAGTAACCAATACTTGGACCTAGACACTCCTGCGCGGAACCTGCAAGAAACGACAGCGACACCTGTAAGAGGAAGCCTTCGAGAAAGCTCCAAACAACCCGTGACATGCTGGTGGAATTCTCCTGACTGGACAATCACGGAATTGCGATCTCACCCCTACCGACGAACCCCTTTAAGAAAAGTGAGCGCTTGAAGGGCAGCGGAAGGACAACCAATACCTTGATACTCAGATGCCGGGTGTCAAATGTTTTAGAACCTCTTTGTGGAGTGCTTCCAGCTGACCTGCATCAAACGGGACCAGTGAATGACCGTCGGCTGCAAGGAAACCGACGGAAGTTACCATGACTTGACAAAAGATCGAACATGGGCTGTGCTCGACCCTGAGCTGTACGACGGGGTCTACTAGGATCGTTTCTAAAAAGAAATAACAAAGCAACGAGGGGTGATCAGTAAGCCGCAAGTGCAGGTTTGCCGGGTGAGCTGAATTTTTGTATCGCCGCCCACGTCACAAACAGCACACTACCCCAAGCCACCCGAAAATGCGGCGTCAACGTTATATACGGCTTCAACATGCTTCAGCCGTCCTCTACAATTTATCGTGTTTTCAGCCAGCCTTTTTCAATGCAGTCGTCTTTCAAACTCAAGCTAACCCCAAAGCTCGCAGACCTCAACCCTGACGTGCAGGAGATTCCAACTTGGGCCTCGGGTTAGGGCAGTCTGGCGGAGATCAGAGTCCTAAGACGACTGTTTCGCAATGAGTACTGACTTTACAGGCTTATTCAGGCCACCCTTCGAGGAAACAACACGTATATCAAGACAAACACCCTGCATCTAGAGGGCGACAGGCAGGCCACTGTTACCCACACGGTGTGCTTTCTTAGTAGTATGTGATGTAGCGATCTGACCGCATCAAGATTAAATCTACAATTGACTCCAGTGAAATGGTAGGTAGCTGGACTGGTAACTGTGGCCAGTCTTGCTCTTCCGACTTCCGAGTCCAGAGCTTGGAACCAGAGATTGATGATCAAAGCTTCGGGGTTCTCCCATTTCCCCGAGGACTTTCCAGGTGCCTGCGCTGATCTCCTCGTGAGTGCCGGGTTCCAAGCCCCTCGGCCAACAGGAGACCATGGACATGGGTCTCTGAGGCTAGTGCATGGTGCCTGTCACAACGGCTAAACATATATGCACCGACACGGAAGGAGACAGGCATTCCATGGCGCCAGCGAAGAATGCGGAATGCCATGCGTCGGGGATTGGGTGACTTCGTCAAGGTTTGCAGTTGCAGGGTTGTTGCAACGAAAGATCCTCAGATATGGAACCTTGTGTGATGCTGCTTTTCCCATGACAATATGACATGTCGGCACACCTCAGCTCTAGCCGTGCTTGTCAAGGACAGCTTCCAAAATCTACCCCCAAACAGACTCTGCTGCATGCACAGACTGCCTGAGGAAGGACGTTCATCGAAAGAAACCATGCGCCGCGGCGGAATACATCATATTCCCGGCTCATGGCCCTAAGATTTCTTCTAAGCTCCCGTCCACTTTCTCATGCTAAATCAGGCCATGCAACCAGGCCAAAACACAAGAGGCGTTCAAGTGCTGGTTGTCAAGGTTCTCCGACGGCCTAGACATTCTGTTTGGCACGAACTCAGGGATTTTCCCAGACAGTCGAAGGTATGCGGCTTCGAGAGTTTTGGAATTTGGGAAGTGCAGGCTGAACTTGGTCACCTGAGAGGTCCCTGTAGCTGTGAGATTGCAAGTCTCAGATACAAGCTAGACCTAGGCAAAGTCTGAAAAGACACATGCGCCTAGTGCCGACTTCCATGTCACTTTGAGGCCTTGCAAACCATCATGTCTGTGTTGGGTCTTCGGCTCACTTCGAAATCACTATAGACATTACAGTACCGCGTAGAACTCCGACGCACCACGATGATTACGACAATTATGCTCTTCGTGGCCGCGACCACTTATGTTTGTGCATAAGTACGTTCTTGTCCGGACCCTCGCCAGAGCCTGGCTCAGCGTATGAGACTGGTGCGCTAGTCTTACGAATTTACCATGCCCTTGATGGACCGCACACTATGCAGGATGGAACCACGGCAGCATGAGACCGCAAACATGTTCATACAGGTAGGTCTGTGTACGGTCCGAACTGTGGACTCGAAATTGCGTTGCGACAAAACAGGGTACCGTCGAAACCTCTCCAACCGGCATACCCCAATCTCAAGTAATGACTGAAAACATCGTGGAAAACAAGGCGGGGCGGCTTGGAACACGGCGCCACGGAATAGCCACCCTGTGCAGCACGCGGCTGGTGAGAATGTGGGGGTGTGCTTAGCATTGAGTTAGCCGCTACGTGCCGCTCTGCCCTCAGTCTGCTCAAGACTACGAAATCTTTGGTGCTATGAGCTCCTTTGCCGAACATCGTGGGTATAGGCGGGATTCACCATACAGGGCAAGCAACATCGTCCAACTTGTCCAGACATCGACCAATAGAGAATCAAGAGGCATTGCTTGAGTTCTAGCTAATCCAGGCTCACTTGGAGGCAGTGTAGCTGAAAGACTCAGGACCATGGATCAAAGAAAAGGGAGATGGCAGCAGGAACTCGCAGCAACGACTGGAGTTCATTAGATTTCCTGAGAAGCGTCATCTATCGGAGCCGCGTCGGCATACAATGCTTCGACGTCCCGATTCACATTCATATGCGACACACATGTGTGCCTGGAAGGCACGCGAGTCGCAGCGCCACCCATCGCGGCACAACGGCGGAGCGCCATTTCCCATGGCGAGGGGGTCTGTCTGGCAAGGGGTTGTCGAGGCCTGGGCAGTGTTGAAGTGAGCATGGCGATGTTGGGTTTTGGAGGGATGATTAAATATTTCACACTGGCTTGCTCTCAAGAATGTGGAGACATGTGGTGCCTGTGAGATTTCCTTGTCTAGAACTGGTTTCGAGGGAGTTTGTCGTGACTGTTTGTCCTCCAAAGACGATGCGGACTGCAAATCCCAAGTAAAGGGACTGGACTGGACCTCCTGCATGGCTTCTCTTGCTGTCTATCTCATCTTTCTGTTTGTATGGATCTATGTATGTATGCTCCAAATGAATATTTATAATCCCCCTTATAAGTTATAAGTAATAAGCTTACCTAAGCCCCAGCGATCAGACAACAAAGGCGAGCGGGGGGTGATGTCCCCTTGGGCCAAAGGTGCGGCCAAGCCTGCATGTAGGAACAGAACTTACAACCACGTAGTGTGCAGAAATAGCTGTGATCGCGAAACGCATGTCCACGTGTGATCTGTCTATCCGTCTATATAGTGAGTCTATATATATATATACATATATGTGCCTATATCTGTATCTATATCTATATCTGTATATATATATATATATATATGTGCAGGCTTCCGTACCCCGCGTCTAGAAAACACACTCATGGTATCCAGGTCAGGATCCCAATACTGAACATCGGTTCACATCGCCATTTGAACCATGACGTTACTCTGGAAGGGCTCTTTTGGAACTTCAAGCCAGGCAAACATCGCAAGGAACACTCTCCACGATTTAAGTTCTGACCAGCGTTTTGGGCGTACCATGTGCAACTCCTGGGTGACAGGGTTTTAATAAGACGGCCAAGCAGGGAAAACACCAGTGCCAATTACAAACTCGCTTGGAACGAGGCTGACTGCAGGAAGGGAGTTGATGGAACGAGCCGGTTCTACCCTCTTCATGCCAATACTAAATTCCAAAGTGTCTTAGCCCACATTGAACCCTAGGCAACCCTAACCCCAAACCTCAAAACGACACAGAAACAGTTTAGAGGAGCCTCAAGTCAAGCGCACAACACTTTGCCAAGGCTCTTTTGGTTCCAGGCCTCTTCCTGGCCCCAAGTTTCGGACCTGATGCGCTCAGTGCTCCCAGGGCACAGGACCTTCCCAAAGCAGCCCCGACCAGTTCGAGCCCTCGTATAAACTTACGCGGACCCTTGGAAACCATACGGGCAGCACTAGTTTGGCAGAATGTACTCAAAAAGCATCAGCGCTCCAACCTTTTGGACGGCTTGCTTCCGAGGAAGCACAGCTTTGGACTTCACCAGCAAGCCATTCAAGGCACCACCTAGTGCTAAGATTTCGTGCCTCATTGCCCGGCATTGCGTGTATAGAAATACAAGCACATGTCTCGCCTAAAAAAATATGTAGTCCGAGGCCGTCGCCTTTGATTGGGCCAGCCTTGTCCTGGAAGACAGAATCGACGTCATATGAAGCTTGTAAAATCCTACACCCAATCTCCGTAGGTCTCAGCGATCGACATCTAGGACCGAATGCAAGATCGTCGAGCTTGCTTCCTGTGAAGCTCTGGGCCTGTAAGCAAGCATCAATGAGAGACATCGCAGAGTTGGGGCTTGCTGCGCATTCGTGCGATTTAGCGGGGCCAGCTAACCCAAAGCCGATGTAATCATGTCAATCATGAACTCCAACCTCATCTTCGCCGCGCCACTTCCTCAACCCTCAACGCTGTGCAGGCTTCGGGTGCCCATCGTAAATCTTGCCAGCATGAACCCTGGGAGCGTCCTTCCCGGCTGCTCGCCTGCGACGGTGGCACTCCAGAAGCATGAGTGTTGTGTTAAAGCATGAGTCGGCGTAGAGACATGCACGACTTGAAGCAACTGCGCATCGATGAGGGCCAGAACGAACAGCAGAACTCATTCCCTCGTCACTGAACCGAAAAAAGCGACAGTGATGGTTCAGGAACATGAGTCTTCAAAGGGCGGGTCCTGTTAGCTGTTAGCCCAGCCGACTGCACAGCTTTCCATGCCTGCTCAGCCGAGTTGTTCCAGCTGCCATTGTCATCTGCGCCTGGATTTTCCACAGGCTTGTGGGAATTTCAGCGCAAAGTGCTTGTCTAGCCGGTGCGTATACCACTTCTGGCAACTGTGTTGTTACTACGGGAAGCATTTTTCCGACCCCAGAAGGAGCCCATTGTTGCGCAATGCCGCTGTTGGTGTGTTTCGTCTCTGCCTGGTTGATGTGAATGTCTGAGTATCAGTCCTTCGAGATTTACGATTCCTTGGGCGCCGGGAAATGTGTCATGGACAATCCAGGGGCTCCAACCCTCTCAGCTCGCAAACACAACATCAGAATACGCATGCGTTCTGCTCACGCAAAACCTCGGGAGACTAGACGGGTACTCAGATCCTTCGACCCACGCTTCGTATGCAGTTGAAGGATCAGGGGCCCCAAAACGGTAGCGCAAACAATTCTAAACCCTAATCAATAAGGCCCTAATATGACCTACACCAATTCCCACTTGGATTCTTCGACTGATGCATCCCNNCCCCCCCCCCCCCCCCCCCCTGTCGAAGCTTCGAGGGCTAATTACAGTTCAGGTTACAAAAGAGGGTTTCGGTGTGTGCTGACAACCAACCGTAGCATTAATTGGCAAAACCTCTTTTCGACGAGCTGTCAGTAGGGGAGGATAGGGGAGGGGTCCTTGTACTCCTTTTTTGTGACGTAAGGTCGAGTTCGGAAAGCAGCAAAGCTCCGCAAGCCAAGATAGCCGAGATTCGCTTCTCACGCCATTGCCAGTCCTCCTGCCCGCTCTCAGATCAGGATTCAGAGATTTTTGGCACCCCACGATTACTGGTCAAAGGCCATGGGTGTTGCCAACCAGTGCACCCACTTAGATAAGGTTCCTACGCGCAGAGTCCAGCACAAAGCTCCGCGGAATCTTACCGGCCTAGCTTTCTGAGAATGCATGTTTCAAGCGCGTCCTTGCCTGTGTGAAGCATGCTCCATGATTGCAGCACGATCAGAATCTTCCAATGCCGTGCCTTGCCGTGCCTTTTATGAAGAAGTTCTATCTATGGCAACCTCCTCACGCATAATTCAAGACACACCTCTCACATCTACCAAGGAAAAGCACCACAACTCCCCAAAGCATCTTGGACCGCCTGGCGACCATCTGCCTCTCCGTCCGCTGCACCTCAAAAAAGCACAGGGAATGTTTTCTGACGCCACAAACGGCTCAAGGATTTCGGATCTGGTGAATATAGGCTTGATACCTCCACTTCAGATTGTAACATTGACACGCAAGACAAAGCAACCATTGTCTGCGGAACAGGATATGCTGGGACTGCCGATTGTCATGTTAACCCAGACAGCAGCAGAACTTCGGAACCCAAACGGCCGACGAGTTAAGTCAAGTGATGCAAATAAGCCAAGAGCAGGTAACCTCAGAGCATCAGGTGGTGCACGAGATGCGCTGAGCTATGCGTGAATCTAGGCCGAGGCACGACGGCCGCGCGAGCGCGACCTCCGACCGTCTCGGCCAGAGCGATTGTCGCGACTGTCCCGACGCTCTCGTCGGTCCTTGTCTCGCCGGTCCCGGTTATCCCGGTCCCGGTCTCGGTCACGATCCCGCTTGTCTTCGCGGTCACGCTGGTCCCGGCCACGATTCTGCTCTCTGTCCCGGTCTCGATCACCTCGATCTCGGTCCCGGCCCTCACCGTACTCGCGGTTGTCCGCGTAGTCGCGCCGATCGCGCTGCTCCCCATCCCGAGCCTTGGGAAGCGATGCAGAAACCTCCCTGACTAACAGTATTTTTACGGTTAGGGACTGCAAGCAGGTCTGTCCATATTATGGCCATTCGTTGGAGAGAGGGTCGGAGGTTATGGGCACGAATAAGCATTCCTGGATATATACATTCATGTCGTAGACACCGGCAGATCCTGTTATGCGATGAAGCGATCAGTCAGCTTAACCTTCGTACCCAAGCTTGCCTCAGAACCATGACTTGGCAGCTGCATCAACTGTAACGGCTGCCGATTGACGGATAGTATAGGATCGTAAGACAAAGCCAGATTAGTACCCTTCAGGTTCGGTCGACTCTTGTATTTTTGCAGATAGCGGTGAAGGCAGCAATCGCTGAATCAAAACCGTGCACATTGATAAACATCATCAAAGCCTGAGGCGCGAATCCGAACTTCCGACTAAATCCCTGAAGCCCTGACGATTGCAACTCGGTAACATTCCCATCTCGACCCCCGCGATCTCGGCGGTCACGGACGTCTGTGCCCATGCCCATCCGAGGGCTGCCTCAAGCACAGGTTGCAAGATGCGGGGGGGCTTATGGGGCGCTGCTGAGTCTGATTACTGTCTCAGGATTCAGGCTTTTGACTCGAGCCTTCTTCTCTACCACAGCCCGACACGGCGAAGACGAACCAGCAAGCTAAATGCAAAATAGATCCCAAGATTTCTAGTTCTGGAAGCATCTCTAAACCTGCGTGTCCCACAAGCACCGATGACAAAACGAGTCAAATAAGATTCAAACCCCAATCACTTTCCGGAACCTGGTTGTACCTCAACTGCCAGGTTCAAGTGCTTCGAGAAAACAACGGCATCCACATGCAAATTAGCTACCGGTGCAAAACCCCGCAAGCTGTGACGACTGAAGTCGAGAGTATGAACCCTCAGCGAAACACCTACCGCACCTAGAAAACCCACGACAGAGCGCTGCAAACCTTAAAAACAGGTCTTGCTAATTGGACATGTAAGGCCAAATCTCCGCGGCCGTGCTGCGTGGTCTGCGCCCTCGCGCAAAGGGTCTTCTGTAGTCCGACGGGCTGCGGCCTGGACCGCACGGATGGAGCCAAAGCAACAATAGTCAACTCAAGCTTGAAAGCTGAACCGCTGCAACCTTTCTCATGTGCAGTGACATGTAATGGAAAGAAACTTCTCATCTCATGTACAGATAAGTCACGCTCGAACGGATGAAGCCTCGGTACGCTGCCGTTGCTAAGCTGAACAATTGTTGTTTCGGGTTGAGGTTTCGAGCTCTTCGGTCGGGGGCTGAGGGCTCAGTTCTTGTTTTACATTTGTTTTTGTTCTCGCCCTTTTCTCACTGCCAAGTAATTGATTAACTGTTCTGCTAGGTCAAAGTCAAAGGGTTTGTAGGCTACATGCTACAGGCTGTCAGTCCAAGTTTTGGAAGGCCTCAGTTTTCATGTTCAGGGTGCTCTTGCAAGTACAGGCATGAAGCTGCTTGAGGGTTTGGGGTTTCGGCTACACCTCGTCGTACGATGTCGCAACGCTGGTTCGAGTTCCTACTCAGTCGTTCTGCTGACCTCCTGAGTTTCGATGTTTTCCATCCCGTATCCGTCAAAGAGTAGTGATGGCACATCGATCGGTTTAGAAACGCCCTGAACGCTGCGTCCAAGCAGCTTCCGTTCGGCTGCACTGCCGATGAACTTCTCCGCTGACGAGCTGCTGCCTCGACATCGTTCGGCTTCAAGTGGCCGAAGTGAGTTCAGGCTGTTCAGATTGCAGATGCGCGAAGGGACCATGAAGACAACGACCACTAGGACCACCCGAAAAGCAGTAGGAGACGCCAGAAGACCACCAAAATGCTTTCCCCCAGCTACTCGCGGATTGACGACCACGGTCAAAATGCTTTCTCCCAAATACAGGCGGGATTGAGGAGGGTTTTGGGAGGTTGGCCGGACTGCTTTCCCCAACATACTGCCGGATGCCGAACCACGGCCAAAATGCCTTCCCCCAACTTACTGGCGGGATTCAAGACCACGGCACTTGTGCTTGCCCATTAACTGGCGGAATTCAGAAGAACACCAAATGCTTTCCCTCGAGCAACGCTGCGATTCAAGGTGTTCGGTGGTCCATGTATATGTCCATGTATTGAAAGTTATAATGAGTCCCGCTCTTCGGGGCACGCGAGTGATTTTGTGTACTGGGACGCGGGGGGCCAAATGGCAGGAGCGACGCTGTTGGCACGCGCGTTATTGTGTCTCCTTGTACGATGCCAGAACTGCTAGTACCAGGTGTTACCGCACTGTTTCGACTCTCGATCACTCTCGCACTTTTGGGGGAATTCAAAATGAAGCTTAGAAGGCTTGTAAATGAAGCCGACAGGCTGGAAGAGCTGCTCGAGGAGCTTGAAGAGCTGCTGCGCTTGCTCGGGCCTGGGGGAAGTGAAAACAGAGGCAGATGTGGTCCTTCGGTCGATGCTTGGATTCGGCTAGGGTAAACCCTTAAATCCGCAGCTCCACTGTAAAGGCCAGAAACGGGCGTAGGGCCTAGGCGAGGTGTCTGTGTGTACACAAGAAACACACAGCGAACCTTTGATTCCCAGAGGTCTACAAGTATCCCATGAGCCGAGGCCGGGGCCTGTCGCAGTGGAGGCCTTGGTCACAAGGATTTGGTCTCAACGCTGCCGATGTTACTTGTGCTGGCGAAGGCGGCGAACGTGGTGGTGATAAGGAGGGCGCCAGTGCTTGCGATGGCGGAAATGATACTCACCACTGGTTTGGCACCACCAACAACACCAATAATTCATCTTATTGTTCTTCTTGACCGAACTCACCCGCGCCATCCAAAGTGTCAGCATCAGCATCTGCACCAGCACCATTGTCTTCATCGCCATCGTCAGCACCAGCATCGCATAGCACAGCATCATCATCATCATCTTCTTCTTCGCAACATTGTTTGCGTTGGGATCAGCATTGTCAACGGGTTTTGTCGTCGTCCATGCCACTTCTGGTAGTTGCGGTCTGGTCGTGTTGTCGTCATATTGAACGTTATACGGTCATACTGTTTTGACTGCTGTGAGCTATGGCCCTGAAGCTGCGATTTGATTCTCATTAGCAGCTGCTTGCGGCCCTTGGCATGTGGATTTAAGTGATTGAGGTGCGGTCAATGTGCAATGTCGAAAAACCTCCAATGCTTGATTCTACATCCCAGACGATTCGTGCAGTCGCTGAGCTGCGCAAACATGCCGTATCAATGCGACATAATTGTAGCTCGATGGCATAATTGCTGTGGGTATTACAGTGCAAGGGTTGGTCAGGAAGTCGGGCTAAAGTGGAACACCACTTTTCCACCACGGCGCCCAATTATCCATACACTTGCGCATGCGGAAGTGAAGATTTCATCCCCCCACCATCGTTATGGAGTCTACGTCGGCGAAGTCAAGCCCAAAGCAACGAAATCCCGGGGCCCAGACAGCGGCAGGCGCGGCGGCAGGCTTGGCCGCTGCCGGCTTGGCTGCAGCCTTCGCCTTGGCCTCCAGAGAAGCTGCAGAGAGAAAAACGGGCCCCCGAATGGAGCTTGTAGAATAAGCCACCACTACATACTGTAGTGGAAGTGTAGCGCCTCTTCTATTCTGGAGATGTGGACTCGTCGGCGAAATGCTACTTCTTCGATTTGCGAATGTGCTGATGTCTCAGGTTTGCACTCTTGATAGCACCACCAGGTCACCGAGTGCTGGCTAAGGTTTCTTGGGAGAGCAGTTTGATTTCTCTTGCTTCGCTGCAATAAGGGTGGGCTGGAGTGTCGGTCGTCTGGTCATCTGCCAAATATTCCAATTCCAATCCCAAGGAAATACAAGTGTGGGGAACCACCGACATCGACGAAGATCTGAGAATCTTTGCGAGCCTCAAGTACGACTGACAGCTCTTGCGCCGTCGTCTTCTGAGATTCTGAAAGATCTTCCCATGCTGCTTTAGGGTGCCTGCCCTGCAGCACACTTCTTTGTATCTCCAACAGTCTGTACCCGATAATAATAATACAAATACTAATAATAAATCAAAAAATACATATATATATATATATACGCATCTAATCAGATAAACATATTCTACAGCACGAACTGCAAGTCATTTTGCATAGACTCTTCAACCCTGCTGGGCCAAGCAACATTTATCATCAAGACGCTTCAACCATGCTACAAACACCTGGCAGAAGACTTCCTGTAGGAGAGCCCGACATACTCAGATTGCGAACCAGTGCTGCGCTCGGGATTTAGCATGACGCTAGCAAATGTAATTGTAGTTGTGTTGCCCAGACTTTGCCAGACCAATAGCCTGCAGATCCCTGAAGAACGCTGTACCTCCCCACTGCATCACACTGCCGCTGCCTTCTTTTCCTCGTCAGATGAATCCCCGAGTGAGATTACCTCAACAGTAAGCGATCCATGTGGTCGTTGAGGCAACTGCTGATGCCATCAAAACTTGTTGTAAATCCGAAACTCTAAGCCCTAAGCCCAAGAACCAACAAACAACCCTCAAGTTGTACGTTGTTTCCAGACAAGCGTTCAGGCTAAAAGGGCTGAATAGGATCTCCACAGCAGGAAAATTTAAGAAACCGAGGAATTTGGAAAGGATCTCCTAATGACATCGCCCCTCACGTGTGTTTCGGCCTCTGCAAAGACAAGATGCGGGGTGCCAAATGACATATGAATGAAACTACCAGTATGGACTTTGGACCCAGACCCTCTAGAGGTATGGCCCAAACACGTGCTGTCGTGCATCCGCAAACTCTTGCAAATACACTGCCACTGCCGGCAAGCGTGAAAGGCTTCCATAGCAGTGGCACATCGAAGCCAAGCACCAACATCTTTTCAAGTTCAGATAAGACGAGCTGCAGATTTGCTTCTTTTCACCCAACCTCGGTTGGCAAGAAGCATTGCAACGATTTGGAACACCGGACGTGCCAGGAACAGGTAGCCGCCTTCCCCAACTTGCACTCTGGCCACTCTTCTTTCACTAACATTGCGTTCGACGGACAAACAACACCCTGAACACTGTAAATTACTGTAAACCCAGAGTTGATTTGTCATGCTGGCACAAAACAGCAATCGAAGCTATGCTGGATCGTACGGCCGATCAGTTACTAACCGCGATGGGCGCATGTCCCTGCAACCGTGAGTTTTTTGCACAGTCCGAGCCGCCGCAGTTGTTGCACTCGTTGCGCTCGTGCTTGTTGGGCTCCCCCTGGGAGGAGGGCTATGAAGGTTACAGCTGAACAATGAGCCCATACCGATTTTATGAACTCTCCTGTGAATCCCCCATATCTCTCCGTACTTGTATAGGATGTCTGATGAGGGGAGACAGTAGCTGGCAGAAGGCATGGGAACTGTATGCCGTGTTGACAGTGTCGGGAGTCAGGAGTTGAGAGGAACTTTCGAGGTGTAGCCGTGTCTTGTCGGACTTGGCTTCCAAGGCTTTCCGCGACTTCGATCTCCAGCCGAAGTACGAGTACTCGGCTACTACCTGTTTCATATGAAAGCAGACAACACAAGACTCAAGCTGTGGCAGCTGAAGAGCCCGGCAAAGCAAATGCTTGCTGTAGTTGCAGAGATCGACTTCAGGTTTCCCACGTGAGCATCCCTACGTAAGGCCAATGTTAGTGTGCAGACTCTTGTCATGGCTGCTGCCAAGCTGCGCAGCGAGGACACACCTGACCGTTTCGAGGGCTGACGACACAACTACACCTGTGCCGATAGCACAACTCGAGGCCTTCGCCCTGACGAAGTGCCTTTCAACAACTGCATTCATCCTTAAAGCCTCCTCCGATACATGCGGTGAGCTGTGCCAAGGGGCCCATTTCTCTTTCGGCCTGGGTGCTCCGCAGCCTCGGCATTGCAGGAAAATTTGGATGGAGTGTAGGATTCTGACAAACAGTTTTGTGGCAAACTCTTCAACACCCACTATAAGTCTACCAGCATCGTCCACATTTTGGCGCTACACATTGCTTATAGCAAAGGCAACAGGAACGCTTTAAAAAAAACCAAGGTCGGTCAGTTAAGAGAGGCAGTGTACAGCCGACACCCCTTCTGACAGCACTGGCGTCTCTCCGGCTGACACATCATCTGCTGCATTCCGGGATTCGCAGTCACAACAGGTGTACGTTGAAACCCGAAAAGCTACAGTTCAGCTTTCGAAACATTAAAGGCTCGCCCAACCAAAGCTCTCAACGGACCTGAACGCCAAACTTCCCCCGCTCATCAAAGGCGAGAGGCTGTTGCAAGCCGTCCTCTCTCCTTTGTTTACCTCATCGCAGTATGGGCAGACCCATCCTGACAAGACGGACGGGAAGATCCCACTATCAAAACTAGAAAAACTTCTGGCAGGCCAGGGCGAGGAAAAGAAACGCCTTTGAGGTAATGTTTATTGAGTTTGACCTGATCTGCGTGATTGTTCACCATGCCCAAGTGACGAGCTTTATGGTTGCTGCTGCTACTGCTGCTCTGCTACTGCTATACTGTTTCTGCTACTACCACAACAACTACTACTACCACTACTTCCACTTCCACTACGACTACTACTACTACTACTACTGCTGCTGCTGCTGCTGCTGCTACTACTACTACTACTACTACTACGACTACTACTTCGACGACGACGACTACGACTACGACTACGACTACGACTACGATAACGACTACGACTACGACGACGACGACTACTGAGAATAGCAAATCAGAGTAATTGTTACTTATTATTGAAAGCTTGGGTCTGCACGGGGCTCGGAAAGGAGGTTCACTCGGTCGGCTGAGGGTTCCGTGAGTACCGGCCGTCTGCTGCCAGATTCGGAGTTTGGGGTGAAGGCTCCTAGGGTTTAGGATTTAGGGCTTCTTCGGATGGCCCCTAGAATAGAAGTGCGCCGGGGTTCCTAAACCCTAAACCCCAAACCCTAAACCCTCATGTATTAGGATCCTTTCCAAAGTGGGCCCTCGTCGGTCAAGGCAAGGTCTAGATTCTAGATTTACTTCTTTGGAAAGCCTTTCGGAGTATTGCAAGCTCGCTCCCGCAACCCCGTTTAGATGAGAAGTATATGGTCTAGTTCTAAATTCGGGTCCCTTGTAGGGTCCTGTTATTGGGATCTAAAAAGGGGCCGAATTTTAATGGAATGAGTATGTTAACGAACGGTAAGGAACAGTACTGGTAAGTAGCCAGACCTAGAGTCGTTAATGTAGGAACCTTATTTAGAAACCGTGGCCCTCAACCCTAGCCCTGAACCTCGCACGCCTTATGGAGCCCCGAAGCCCGAAACCCTAAACCCTAAACCCGACCCTCAACCCTAAACCCTAAACCCGCCTATCCAGCCCATAAGGCCTACTTCGGGAACAGAAGTGCAGCTGAGCCGAGCCTCTACCGAGGTCCCGAAGAGCTGAGAGCCCGAGGAGAGACAGAGGAGTGATTTCATTTGGGGCATAGGGTTTAGGGTGTAGCGTTTAGGGTTTAGGGTTTAGGGCTTGGGGCATAAAGCTGAATGAACAGGATTTCTTTGACGGGTTTCTTAACAGGGGTCTCAAAAAGCTTACCAGTACAGGGTTTTTTTAGGGGTTTGCGTGCAGGAGGGGGCGTAGACTAGGGTTTCGGGGTCCATTTTTGTTTTAGAAGGAACCTCAGGGCTAACATGGGTAGTTCGCCAGGCTTCTAAAGTAGGGTCGTTGAGGCCTTCTGCCGCGCCTGAGAAATAGCATTAGGACACTGCTCAAGTGAGCACGAGCTGCCTGCCTGATCGGGGACTTTGGACGTCCAAAAGGGATTGCTTGCATGGTTGAGGCAGATTCCTCAAGCAAGGGTCATACTTTCGGAGTCTAAAGTCCTCCGTCGGAGATGTGTAGCCACGCTGCAGACCGATCGCCCCGAGCCAAGAAGAGCCGTGAGAAAAGTGCGGTTACGGGTGCAGGTGAGGCAGGAGCCGCACGAATTACATGTGGAGACTGCCTTTAGATGGCTCGGGTCGGGGAGAGTAGGTGTGGTGCAATCTTTGTTTCTTTCTGGTTGTGGTGGTGGTGGTAGTGGTAGTGGTGGTGGTGGTGGTTCGCGGTCGTCGTCGTTGTTGCTGCTTCTCCTTCTTGTTTCGTTTTAATCAGGAGCTCGGATCTTTCACAGCTTGCCGGGCTCAGCCCCTGCTTAGCATCTAATACGGTTTAGGACGAGGTCCAAGGCCGTGCTCTTTACGGACGAGGCTTTGAGTACCTGGTGGCGGCAGTAAGTGGAAGACTAGGGCGAGCTCCCGCCTTCTCGTATAGCCTCCCGCGGGCGGTGGCAGGTGAGTAGCAGGCAGTAGCAGGTGCAGGAGGGCCACCTTTTACAGATTCGGTTTAGGGTTTAGGATGTAGGGTTTAGGGTTTAGGGTTCGGCCGGGACATGCTAAGCTGCTAAGCGGTCCTCAACTCTCACCATGGTCAGAAATGGGAGTTTCCGAAAATAGGGGACCCTAATATAGTACCCTTAATAGTAGGATCCTTATTATAAGGAGCCCACAATGAGGTACCCCTTAATTTTGGAAATTCCCAAATGAGGGAAGCTGGCCGACGCACCGGACGGGGAGGCGGGAGTCGCATCGCAGCACGGCGCCACACCGCTTCGGTCGTCGCGTTGCTGAACACCTAAAGTGACAAGCGGAATTTGTGAGTTCATATTTGGGTGGTGCATGTGGTGGCTGGTTTTTGGTGAGATTGCCCGCGCCGAGGGAAATACAATCCTATGTTCCAGTCATTTCTTGCTGAACTGCGACAGACGCGAGAGCGGAACGCTCACAATGCCACGAGCCGTTTCATGAGCGAGATGGCGGAGTTATTCCAGCGCCCTCCAACCGGACTGCGCTGCGAGCTTGGGATACGGAGCCTGCTTGCGGCCCTCCGCTACATGCAATACGGCTCCGTGGTGAGATGGTGTGCCGGCATTAGCGTTGCATCCCGATCCCGGCTGTCTCGACGGCCGCCTCCCCGCGACTCGCGCGACCTGTGCGTGTGCAGAGGTGACCGCAAAAGCTTGTGCAAAGCAGGCACAGAGCTTACCACCCGCATTCTCCGCAGTACATGCCGCGAAGCTTCAGATAGCAAGACAAGGAGTCCCGCACTGCGCCCACTGCAGGATGCGGACCTGCAGCGACCGAGAAAAGAGTCTGGTTGCGCAGCTGGTGGTGTTTGGGTCGCCGCCCCACCCAGACCAGACGAGCCATCCGTCCACGTCACAGCCTGCGCAAGGCTGAGCCGCTTGACGCTGTGCGCCATGCTGCGCCAAACGTGCGTGTGACCCTGTCCTAACTCGGGTGTCGTTGGACGCTTCTGCTGCTGATGATGGCATCAGCTGCCAAGCGATCCTATGCTCCATCACTTGCCCGAGGCAGCCGCCCTGTTGCAGTTTGGCGACGTCCCGGAAGTCGTCGAAGAAAGGGACCCTCCCAGCCCCTGTTTTGCTGGGGTTTGCGGACTGCGCTCGGCGCTCCAGCAGGAGATCCGCGAGGATCTTGGCGAATGCGTTTTTGCTTCCTGGACGATGTTGCCATCCTCGCATCGCCTCGGGGAGCGATGCCTTCCGGCGCTTTGAGTTCCACCTTGCTCGCCACACGCAGCTGCGCGGCTGCGCCTCAACGTCGCCAAAATTGCCCTCCCCTGACGGCCTGCCGAGCTCACATTGTTGGATTCACCGTCGGGCCCCTTTGCCGCCAGGATGCCCGCCGCTGTGCGTCCTACCCTGCTGCTCCGCCACCTGCGACTTCTCCTGCCGCTTGGCCCGTGCCAGATGCCGCTGCCCCACTTGACATTTATGTGTTGGGTGATCATGTCGCTGCGCGCCTTTGCCTGCCGGGGGGCGGCGCTTGAACGTGCCATCACACGCGTCGGCCGTGAGGCCAGAGCAGCTGTGGCTTCGAACGTCCTAGACCGCGACCTCAACCTCCGGGTTGCAAGGTATGATGAACGGCCCAATGAATGAACTCATTGCTAAGGGACTTGGAGTGGCTCTCACCTCGCAGTTGCCGCTGCGGTGGCGCACTTGCCGGCGCAGCCCTTGCAGAGGCGCGCAAATCCAAGGAACGCACTTACCTGGAATTCGGTCGTGCGTCTCGTCCGGTGTCGCTTGGTCGTTCTGAACATCGAGTATGGCGGCCGCTCGATCTATGGCGCAAACTCGGCGCACCCGATGCTATCCGCCATCCTCTGAGCGTATACGATCTCTGATTTCATCAGGCCCCATACACGTGTTGCACTCGCAAAGATGCGATCGGTTGTATTCATTTGTGAGACAACCAGAAGATCAACGGGCCATGGAACAACCGCCAACATGTGTGTTCTTCATGGAACAGCTGGTGAGGCAATGCCTCATGACAGCCCTGCGCATTTGCAGCGGTTGCTGGGCAGTTTCCTTGTGCATCTTTATAGCATGTGGCACAGTCTGTTGTGCACCCTCGTGTGCAATGCCATTCATTTCCCGGCACACGGTGCTACAAAGCATGGATATTCGTTTCACTTGTAGACTATGTGGCAGCATCTGGCAGCCATGAAAAAAGGATAAGATTGAACAACTTCACATGTCCAAACCGTAAGCTGCAGACCTTGCTTGCTTTGACGAGCGTGACGGAGTGCAGAAGTTCCGGATCGAGGATTGTTTTTGTCACGGACCGTACCGCCTGCATGGTGAGGGTCCAGCGACGTCGAAGTCCCCACACTAGAGCCTATACGGCCCAACTGCGGCTAGCGCAGTGGCAATCGGCTGCTTCGGCGAAGGGCCGTGCCGGTCGCTACGCGCTGCACCATGTCGCGCCGCTATGGCCAGAGCCGGTCCAGGCGAAAGTGGCCACTGCTCGCAGTGCCTGTGGGGCATGGTGGGGCCCGTTTCGCTCCGACGCACACCACATTTCGAGCTGCTGCACTGTTTCCCCGTATCTCGGAGCTAAGTACGAGAAGCTGCTGCGGACCGCCCCAGCTGTGGGCAGGCTATGTAGGCTGTTCGATGCCCATCGGCAATCACCGTGATGCGGCGCTGATGATGCCCGGGTGCCTCGGGTTTTGCTTCCACAAGGACGCTTGGCGACCTGAGGTCTCGCACCACGATGCGTGTGGCGACTGTGGCACCAGCCTCACAGCAAACCCGAGCAGCTGCACGTTCGAGCAGTCCACCCCGTGTCCTGGTTCCCAGCGCTCCCCCGTGCTTGGCAAGCCCGGTTGTTGCCTCGCATGCTCCTGTTCTGACCCGTGCAATCGCCACGGGTGCCGAAACAAGTTCATGATCCTTGCATTTTTCAAGTGTCGCTGGGACAGTTTGTCGTGTGCCGATTGCT